TGTCTTAGCTGCATATGCAAAGTTACAAAAACAATTAAAAGATAAGCGTTATTATCCAGCATTGAAAACATTGGAGCAGTTAGAGCATCATGATTTGCCAAAAGTTACAAATTACAGATTTTCTTTTCAAATCACACAACAAATTCCACAGTAAGTTTAATTAGAAATAAGAAATATTGGGTTTGTTCGTTTTAGCTGTACTGTGCACTAGTGTGATAAGTTAGGGTGAAAAAATATACATTTATCTAATTCTAAGGAGGAGGGCTAATAAGGCCGATTTTTGGGCCAAAGTGTCGCACGTATTTGATCGCATATTTGTATAGTTGAAGTCGAGAGCTTTCCAAAACACCCTATGGAAAGTTTTTTTACATTGGGGAAAGTGAAAGTTATAAGTCCTCAAAGTTAAAGAAACACACATATGCATGAAGTAGACTGCCTTAATTTTGTGTGTGTGTGTGTGTGTGCGCGTATCTGTTAGTGCGCAGTAGTACAACTAAAACAAACAAACCCATTTTCTTCTGTTATATATAGAGTTGTAAAAAAATATAAGATTATTTTCTTTGTGTCAGATTGCGGGAAAATATAAAAGATGCTTCTATGTCTGATTTACGAGATTTTCTAGAAAATATCAGAAAATATTCACGAAAGATTGGTGAAGTTGCAATGAGGCATGTGGGTATAATTTATTTATACTTAGTATCTTTATTTCTATATTAATCTTATATTAATATTATCTTTATTCCTATATATGTTTGTATAATTTATTATATAAATTAAACAGTATTATATATAATTTATTAATTTTATCATCATTTCTTATTAGACTGCTGAACAGTTAGCAATTGAAGCAGAAATTATTGGAAGGAAGAAAAAAAGATCTTATATGAACAATCAGTTAAATGAGGCTGAAGAGGAACTGAGTGCACAAGACTTAATGGATTTCAGTCCAGTATATCGATGTATGCACATTTATACTGTGCTTCGAGAAGAAGAAACCTTTAAAATTTACTATAGACAGCAGAGAAAACAACAAGCTAGATTAGTCTTACAACCATCTATTAATATGGTACATATATACATCTATTTATTAAGTAATGAGTAATATATATTTATATACTCTAATAATAATAATAATAAATATTTTTTATTTTTAGCATGAAAGTATAGTTGGATATCAAACTTATCTGTATGGCATTATTGGATTTTTTGTCATAGAAGATCACATATTAAATACAGGTAATGGACTAGCTACTCGTGCGTATTTAGATGAGCTTTGGGAGATGACATTATCCATAATAGTCAATGCTTTACGCACACATTCGGTAAATATATTATTATTTTCAATTATTATATGTTCGTTATAAGTAATATAATATGAAAGAATCTGTATTTTTTAGGCATATTGCACAGATGCTACACTTATATTAAAAATCAAGAATCTTATTATGTTATTTAATACTACTTTAAGAGTAAGTAACAAAGTTTGTCTATCATTGTTTATACAAGATGTTCCTAAAATTCCATATGTTCTTTTAATATATAATAGATTATTTAGTTAATTTGGGAATAACTTCCTCAACAAAAATGTCAAGACATCAACAATTTACGAATTATAAACAATGAAAAAAAGAAGGGTCTTTTTGCAAATTAAACTTTGTGGATTATTAAGGAAAAATTATCTTTAAACTAGCTTTAAACCCGTTTTACGCGCAAGAGTAAAAAAAAGAAAAAAAAAACATTGTCGTTATTCTCGAAAAATTTCAAGAGAATCAGTCTATTATGAATGTGTAGTTTGCTGTCAGGCAGACAGATAGATAGACGGTATTTACATAATAGATTGGTTAGAGAATCTGTTATTAATAAAACATCTATTGGTTTTGGGACATTGTATATGTATATATTTATGCATATGTAAATTAAACAATTTTTTATTTATTGAATTTTTTATTTGTTTTAAACAGAATTATGGCTATTCTGTAGAACAACTTTGGGATTTATTACAAGAAATTAGAGTGCATTATAATGAAGTATTAATGAAACATTGGGTTCAATTATTTAGGAATATTTTGGATGAAGACAGTTTCTTGCCAATTCAAGTAATTATGATGACCATTAATCTATAACTTTTTTTGAATTATTATTATACTTTTTGATTATTATGCTTCAGGTTACAACGCAAGCAGAATATGATGAAGTTCTTAATCTATTTCCTTATCATGATAAGGATTTACAGAAAGCAGAGTTTCCCAAAAAATTTCCATTTTCGGACATGGTACCAAAGGTCTATCAACAAGTGAAAGAATTTATTTATGCTTGCTTAAAATTTTCAGAGGATTTAAATTTTACCCAAACTGAAATTGATGAGATGATATGCAAAACAACAAATCTTTTACTAACAAGAACTTTCAGTGGATGTTTATCGTCATTATTTCACAAACCTTCTTTAGCGCTTTTGCAAGTAGTACAAATTATAATAAATACGGGATATCTCGAAAAATCTACAAAATATTTAGAGGAATTTGTGTCTAATATCACTGGGTAAGAATCTAATACTATTTATTTTTTTAGACTTTATATTACATATATATGTGTGTGTATATATATATAATAAATTGTTTAGCACATTGCATCAAGGGCAATTGAGCTCTGTGGGCGTTGAATCTGCTATGTTTCGAGTTGCACGGGATGACGCCGAGAAACAAATTTGTGATAAATTAAAAAAGAAGCTAGATGAATTTTTAGAATTGGAAAATTATGATTGGAATTTAGCAGAACCTCAAGGACATGCTTCAGGATTTATTACGGATCTTATAGCGTTCTTACAGAGCACCTTCACATGCTTTACTAATTTACCAGTAAACATCGCAATTTAAATATGTATCATACGTTTCCGAAATTCGATAATTGATAGTTAATTTTTTAGGACAAAGTAGCTCAAGTGGCATGCAAGTCTGCATGTTCTCACATTGCTGAAGCTATATTAGGTATATTAATGAGTGCAGATGTGAAACAGATATCTATGGGTGCATTGCAACAAGTTAATTTAGATACAATACAATGTGAACGTAAGTTTTATTATGTTTGTTTTATGTATTTTTATGTATGCGTGTGTGTGTATTTTTAAATATATTCAAATCTTATTGTGACTTCTAGAATTTGCTGCTTCTGAGCCTGTCATTGGTCTACCAGAAGGAACTTTATTGCAATACTTTTTGCAATTAAGACAATTATTAGATTTATTTATGAGCTGGGATTGGCCTACATATTTTCATGATTATGGTCACGATTGTAGTAAATATAATTTAGTGACTCCAAATATGGCTGTGCTCCTATTAGAAAAGTATGTTCTATATACGTTATATATATATATATATATATCTTGTATGTTATTCCTGTGTATAAAATTTAAATAATATTTTTTTAGATTAAAAGAATCTGATAAAAAAACAATGTTTACTGTGCTGAAGAAAAGCGAAAGAGATAAAAAGAAACTGCTTGAAACTGTATTAAAACAGTTGCGTCAACTGGCACAGACTACCCAACAGTAATAAAAGTTGCAATCAAGTTATGTAATATATGAGAGCTTTACAACAAGAAAACACAGAATGTGATGTAATTAGCTGTCGAATAGAGAATTTTAGAGTCTCGAAAAAATTGTTTATAACTGATGTAATGTTGATTATATTGTCATGTAATATTGTGTTTATGTGAGTTTCTTGCTAGAAAGCTCCTTATGTGTTTTAAGAAAATGTGTAAATATATAATTTTTATAAACAAGTATTGCAATTCGATTCTTGATGAATATTATAAACATTGTTTCATATATTATTTGATTTTTCATGTCAACGTCTTATATTTTGATATATTGTATATTTTGATATTTTGTAAATATTCTTTGATTCTGTAAATTACATATGGCATCATTATTAATAATGTAATGTAATAATTATTACTAATACTTTCCTAACTGAAGGTAACTGTAAGGTGTCTGAGTCAAATAATAGCAACACTTTTATTTATTATGATTTTGTAAAAATTCATACATTGTTTTAATTTTAATGCAATTTTAATTTTTCAAAAAATGTTTGTGGTTCCTCTAATCTCCATAAATTTTAAACTATTGGGATAAATTTTATATATGAATAGAGTATCATTAAAAGATGATGATTGGTATTGAACTTGACTAGGATCATTGTGAAAGGGTTCATTTTTCATAAAATTTTGAATTAAAAAAATGTAGTTATGCTCTATCTTCCATAAATTTTAACATATCAGAATATCATCAAAGTAATTGGTATTGAATTTGGTGATGATCAGTGAAAGGATTTATTTTTTATGAAATTTTGAATTTTTAAGAAATGTGCATTTGTTAATTGTCGCAAATTTTTAGATATCGAGCTAATTTTTTTTGTATATGAATAAAGTATCGTAGAACTTATAAATACCCACACAGCACAAAACTCAACAGAAATGTTGCAGAAACATTTCAAAGTTTCAAAAAAGTTTCAAGTAACACTGAAACGTCATTATAACATCTAAGAAACATAACATAGAAAAAGTAACATTTGAAACATTTATGCAATCTTTCATAAACATATTTGTGACAAAATAGCAGACATATTTAAGACGTATATGAAACATTTTTGAATAAATTTTGCGAAGGTCTCTGAAATGTTTTGTGCTGTGTAGGTATGGAAGGGAAATAGCGTATATTTTCTATAGTCAAAACTGTGTCCGACACATACTATTTAACATGACTTCACTATAGTGTCCTTTGATTATATAAATAAAACCTTGGTATCGATTCTGTAACTTTTTCTAAAGTGTAAACGTGAAAAGTGAAAAATTTTCGTCAATCGCACATCGATTTCATTTTAAAATCAATGCGTGATTAGTGGAAATTTTTCACTTTTTACGTTTTTACTTTAGAAAGTTACAGAATCGATACCTATCATACTGTTATAGTTATATATATAAATATAAATATATACACATAAATATATATGGACGCAATTATGCAATATATATAACCAACTACCAATTTTTCTAATTTCGAGATTATTATTTCAATTGTGCCTGATACATTCAGACACAATTTGAAATAAAAAGCTTAAAATTGAAAAATTGGTGAATAATTCCATATTATGGATAACTGCGTCTATATATGTATACATATATACATAATATAAAGAAAGGTCTCCATCCCCACCCTTTCCTATGAGGCACAACCAAACAATTTGCCTCTCCATATTTTATATCTATCTGAAAAAGAAAAAAATAAATTAGAAGTCAGAACGGCCCCTCCCCGCTGTTTTTTGTGACGCATATCCAAATTAATACAACTCTGCTTCTTCAAAATATAAAAAAAAATAAAATACAAATATGCAAAACTTACCAAGAGTTTGGTAGACCAAATAAAAGACTCATCTTATATCACTCTCGTCGTATTCATCTGAAATAATTTAATTTTTTATATAGCAATTAGTAATTTTTTATTTATTATTGTTATTAAGAATAAAATAAAAAAATTTATATTATACAAAGTGTTTCAGTTTAAATAATGCATTGCTATTTTTTGGATCAATAAAAGGCTTATTCTATCAAAAAATGTTTTATTTAAAAGTATAGTAGGATTTATAACTTTTGTGTGTGTATGAAACATTTTTCGATAAAAGTCTTCTTTTTCGAAAAATATAATAATGCATTATTTAAAATAGAATACCCTGTATAATTATTCAAATATATTTATATTATTTTATACATTTATTTTTTTATTCTTAATTTTATTTTTTTTTATTAGTTAATATAACTAAATTCATATGATAGAAAGGTTTTAAAGATCCGAACGCGGATGTTGATGCGTGTATTCCGACGAAAATATTTATTTCTTTAGGGAGATAGAGGGGGTTTGATGGAAATTAAAATTTCAAAGATGAAATTATTCCATATATTTAAGTCTTGGTAGTGACCAAGTAACATTTTGTGCCTTGTGCATAATTAATTAATCCCGATGAAAAATTAATTTTCGTCGGATAATATATATACACACGCATCAACATCCGCGTTTGGCTCTTTATGTATTAAATTTAATATATTGAGAGCCTAATAGAAATGTATTAACGTTAATAATTAAAATTTTAATAAATTTCTATAATTTATAAATAATTATTATAAATTATTACATTTTTTTATTTACCATTATGCTCCAAATTTTCCGTTTCCTCCAATAGATTTCTGTCCAATAGAATCTGTAGATCTTCGTTTATCCTCAGGATCTGGGGATCGATTGTATATTGTGACGTCCTGCCATTGGTTGAAACCCTAAATTTTTTCGCGCTAACATCATTTCTTGCGAGAACCTATATAATTAACTATTTTGAGAATGATTTAACTTAGAATTAGACACTTTTATCATTTATCGTTAGTAATACCGAGAGAAAGATGAGAGCGGCCAGGCCGGCGTTTTGGCTGTTACCGTTTTTACGGGACTGCTTGAAGCGCCCCTCGCACCCGTTTTTAATATCGGAACTAACTGCACACCCATTTTCTGGCAGGGTCGATAAAGTTTGTATTTGGTGCGAGTCCGTGCTACGCCCATAATTTTCGTGTTAACACAGTATCACGTATTCATTCTGTATATGTGCGATCTTTTCTCTTTATATATATATATATATATATATATATATGTATTTATATAATTTGTATAAAAACTAAAATATAATTATTAAAATATATATATATGTATATGTGTAATGAAATATATAAATCTTATTTTAATTAAAATAAAAAGAACGATTAATTGTTCGACCACCTGGATTTTGGAATGTAATTTTTAATATATATTATATTATATTTAATATTTATCGCCGCTTCTATTAATATGAAGTGCAATGTCAACGTGCAATAATGTACAATTATTTAAAGTTTCCATGCCTAATGTATCATGCCGGTATAAAAGAACGTCAAGTAGCATGCGTAGCCGAGCAACTAAGATGACGAGCTGAAATCGTGGACATTTCAAGTTCAAACCCCTGCCTTTTTCAGATTTTTTTTTCACTTTTTTCAAATAAGTTATTATGTGTATAAATGTGTAATAATCAATATATCATTATTTGATAATTTTTTTTGTAATGGAACAAAATAAATTATTTTTTAATTCTGCAAGGAATTTAATTATTAATGCAAACGCCCACACACATAATTTAGATATTCAATTTTTTTTAGTTCAAATGTTTCTTGCAATCTGTATACGACAATCAGTCCACTCGCTGTGCCACAGATTGCATCGCATAATACGCTCAGAGTTATAATACGATAGAGATCGCTTTACGCTGTTTTTCCTTGAAATAAATAAATTTTACGTGTTGTGTACGCGTGTTTAGTATATTTGTTTCTTTCATATTAATTTTAACTATAATTAGTTTTTTAATTAAGATTATTTTAGTGTTAGTTGTTTATTTGTTAGTGTCCTGTTTTCTTTAATTTCGCATTTTTTAATTTTCTTTTTTTTTTGGTGTTGGTGCTAATTATTATTTTTATTTTACAATGTCGAGTAAACACCGGTTTTACGATAAATGTGTGTATTTAAATTGCACAAATATTAGGACAAAAGATGGAAAACGTTTATTTCGATTTCCATTACAAACGGGTGCGAGACATGATTTATGGTTACGCAATAGTGGTGAGTTTATAAAATTGATTTACTTATTTATATCAATATATAATATATATTGATATGATATATGAAACAAATATATATATATATTCTTTGTTTTTTTTAATAAAATATGTCAGATATTATGTATGTTTACGTATGGATTACGTTGAAGTGTTTCTTTGCCGCGTTTTTCTGATCTCGCCGAACGGTTCGCGAATCCTGTGCGAATAAAAAACGATGCGCGTGTGTGTGTGCGTGCGATTGTGATGATCAGTTTCAGTTCGTCTTCAACGCTTGACGAGAGAAGAGGTCCCGAACTGCTGTAAGTTTATAAAAACATATTTTTGTATAACACATTAGAACGATTTTATATTATTTTTTTTGTCTAGAAAACGTTATATTAATAACCGTTATGAAAACGATCTCGACGACGGTCGTCACCGGCATCGTCGCCGTCGTCGAGATCGTTTTCATAACGGTTATTAATATAACGTTTTCTAGACAAAAAAAATAATATAAAATCGTTCTAATGTGTTATACAAAAATATGTTTTTATAAACTTACAGCAGTTCGGGACCTCTTCTCTCGTCAAGCGTTGAAGACGAACTGAAACTGATCATCACAATCGCACGCACACACACACGCGCATCGTTTTTTATTCGCACAGGATTCGCGAACCGTTCGGCGAGATCAGAAAAACGCGGCAAAGAAACACTTCAACGTAATCCATACGTAAACATACATAATATCTGACATATTTTATTAAAAAAAACAAAGAATATATATATATATTTGTTTCATATATCATATCAATATATATTATATATTGATATAAATAAGTAAATCAATTTTATAAACTCACCACTATTGCGTAACCATAAATCATGTCTCGCACCCGTTTGTAATGGAAATCGAAATAAACGTTTTCCATCTTTTGTCCTAATATTTGTGCAATTTAAATACACACATTTATCGTAAAACCGGTGTTTACTCGACATTGTAAAATAAAAATAATAATTAGCACCAACACCAAAAAAAAAGAAAATTAAAAAATGCGAAATTAAAGAAAACAGGACACTAACAAATAAACAACTAACACTAAAATAATCTTAATTAAAAAACTAATTATAGTTAAAATTAATATGAAAGAAACAAATATACTAAACACGCGTACACAACACGTAAAATTTATTTATTTCAAGGAAAAACAGCGTAAAGCGATCTCTATCGTATTATAACTCTGAGCGTATTATGCGATGCAATCTGTGGCACAGCGAGTGGACTGATTGTCGTATACAGATTGCAAGAAACATTTGAACTAAAAAAAATTGAATATCTAAATTATGTGTGTGGGCGTTTGCATTAATAATTAAATTCCTTGCAGAATTAAAAAATAATTTATTTTGTTCCATTACAAAAAAATTATCAAATAATGATATATTGATTATTACACATTTATACACATAATAACTTATTTGAAAAAAGTGAAAAAAAAATCTGAAAAAGGCAGGGGTTTGAACTTGAAATGTCCACGATTTCAGCTCGTCATCTTAGTTGCTCGGCTACGCATGCTACTTGACGTTCTTTTATACCGGCATGATACATTAGGCATGGAAACTTTAAATAATTGTACATTATTGCACGTTGACATTGCACTTCATATTAATAGAAGCGGCGATAAATATTAAATATAATATAATATATATTAAAAATTACATTCCAAAATCCAGGTGGTCGAACAATTAATCGTTCTTTTTATTTTAATTAAAATAAGATTTAGGGTGCGTTCCGTTATGCACTGCAATACTGGCACTATGACGTCATGCAAGTGTACTGTTGACAGCGTTCCTTTTTAATTTTATGCACTTTGAAGCTACTGCAAAATAGTAAAACGGAACGCACTACAGTACGCTTTCAGCAGACTTTTAACTAACCTTTTTCGCTAATAATCATCGAGTGAAAAATTGGTGAAATGGATAATACCATTATTGCATTAATTACATATAATTTAATCGAGAATATATATGATTCGAGTGAGTCATCAAGTGAAAGCGATTTGGAAATGGAATTAATAAATGAAATGAGACGACAAATTAAAATACCTAGAATAAAATGTAAAAATTACGTTAAAAATATTGTATCATTATATTCAGATATGGAATTTAAAAGTTAGTTCCATCGTACACATGGAGGTAGCCATCTTGATTACTGCGAGTGCTTTACCTCGCCGGTTGCAGTAATCGCAACAGGAAATAACGTCAAAATTAATGACGTCATATACTCATGATAGTACTTTCGCAGTGCACTGCTATCTATATCGGAACGCTATTGGTAGTACTGTCAGTACTTGCAGTGCATAACGGAACGCACCCTTATATATTTCATTACACATATACATATATATATTTTAATAATTATATTTTAGTTTTTATACAAATTATATAAATACATATATATATATATATAAAGAGAAAAGATCGCACATATACAGAATGAATACGTGATACTGTGTTAACACGAAAATTATGGGCGTAGCACGGACTCGCACCAAATACAAACTTTATCGACCCTGCCAGAAAATGGGTGTGCAGTTAGTTCCGATATTAAAAACGGGTGCGAGGGGCGCTTCAAGCAGTCCCGTAAAAACGGTAACAGCCAAAACGCCGGCCTGGCCGCTCTCATCTTTCTCTCTGGTAATACCGGCATAGGGAATTTTCTAGTTGTAACTAGTCTAGGGACTAGCAACGCGACCAATCCAACACAACTAGCGCATACCTATAAATTACTAGTCGTCGCCATCTCTTACAACCCTAAGGGTGCCGTCACATGAGGCGTAACTTGCGTTAAGGGTCTACAGGCGACATAGTGGAGACGCCTATCAGCCGGCTGGGAATGACGGATTCGTTTATCCCAGATATTAGCCAAAATACTTAATGAATCTTATTAAATTTACGATATTCTTAATCAGTAGGATTGTCCGCAGGGAGACAAAGATTGATTTTTTGGAAAAAAGATGAATATAAAATTTATAATATAACTTGGGGAGATGCGCAGCTAGCAGCGTAAAGTTGGGTTAGCCACGAGATTGTATTTAATTTATTATAAATTTTTAAGAGCAATAATGCAAAATTCGACTCTTTGTTTCCTTGCTTTATTATATAAAGAATATATTAAAAAATATTTCACGAAGTTACGTAACTTCTTTTTATGTAATATTTGGGATGAACAAATCTCACTAGATCTATACTCATGGGGAAATTTTCGTGGTAACATACTGACAGCTTGACAAAGAGAGAGTATCATTCTATCTTTGTCTCTCTTGCATTTGATATGTGTAAAATCAGTATAAATACAAAAACCAATATATTACGCCACACGAATGAGAAATATTTTACATCTGCTCATTATATATGAAAATATAAAAGTAATGCAAATTAAATTTCACATTTATTTATAATAGTATTGTGAGATAGTAACACATGGAAATCTTATATAAGATAAATGCTGTACATCGATTAGCGTAATATTATGATTACAAGTCGCAATAAATGATTTTGCTAATATATTATTTGAATAAAAATTTTATAAAAACAAATAAAAATGAAATGAATAAATTTTATTCATTCTTTGTTTTTTTCTATTATTTTTTTCTATTATTTGAATAAAAGGCGTATCGTATGTAATAGATAAATAATAATTTATATATATATATATATGTATATATATATGTATATATATATATCGAATATATATATATATATATATA